TCACTTACCCTTGTCACAGGTGTCGGATCCCAGGTAGCTTCCTGAGAAGAAGGAGAAGGGGGGGTGTTAGCGTCTTGCCCCATATCCCCCGCCCGGCCCCTCATGTCACCGTTTACCCTGCTGCAGGGTGGGGGTGACGCTGCCCCAGCCGAGCGGCTGCACTTTTTGCACTGGTGCGAGGGACAACGAGGGGTGAGCCAGCAGGAGTCAGGGCTCGTCACTGCTTCCCGGGGCTAAGATCCCTGCGCCGCCCCTGCCACCCCCCGGGGACTTGGACATACGGGGGTGGGACTCTCAGAAGCACCTCAGTGACTCAGGAGCCCAAACCCCATTGAAATCAGTGGGGCTGGGGCTCCTACATTCCCCCCGCTCGGTGTACAACACGTCCCAGCTGCAGCAGAAGGGGGCGGGGAGGTTAGACCCAGGCCAGACACCACCAGGACCACGTCAGGCCAGAGGCAACACTGGGTGCCAGACTGCACCTCATCCCCACTGCAAACACCCCTGCTGTTCAGGGGGGTGTGGGTGGGGGTGTGTGTGTACCCTTACCGACTTCACAGGCTGCTGCAGACCAGGGCTGGGAATTTCAAAGCAGCAGCTGAGGGGAGTTGGGTGCTGACATTCCCCTAACTCCCCTAGGTTCCTCTGAACTCAGCCTCAGCTGGGGACATCGACCAGCACAGCTGTGGCTGAATGACCAGCAGAGCTAAATTAATCTCCCCATGCAGCCAAACCCCCCGTGTCACTGAAACAGCAGGGACCTCCCACCCCACAGAGGGACCCTGGGGTGTGTTAACACGTCCTGTGCCTCCCCCCGCAGGCCCCAGCACGTCCCCTGGCTAGCGTCACCCACACGTCACCTACCGGAGCTGGCAGAGCCGACGTCAGCTGTGAGGGAGAAGGAAGCCGGGGTCAGTGTCTCTCGGAACACAGGGTTGCCGTTCCCCCGGCCCCACACGCGTTGTACACGCCCCAGTGACTGACCCACGTTCTGCTGTTGGGCCCAGACACCACGGTGATGGGCGACTTACACAGAGCACCCAGGCCCAGGCAGGGTGTTCGTGTCGCTGGCCAGTCCCGCTGCTGCAGCTCCCCAGCCTCCGAGAGGCCGTGGGGGGCTAGGGGAGGTCTCCTGGGACTGGCCCCAGGCTGCCATGTACCGGGTCTGTCACAGAGTATTGGGGGACTCAGGGCCCTGCACCCCCGGCTTCCTGTGATTCACTGCGACTCTCAGCCAGCCAGTAAAGCAGAAGGTTTATTTGGATGACAGGAATACAGTCCAAGACAGGTCTTGCAGGCACAGAGAACAGGGCCCCCCTCAGTTAGGTCCAGCTTGGGGTCCCAGGGCATCCCAGCCCACCCCCCTTTGGGGGGTCAGAGCCATCTCTGCCTCCCAGCCATCTCTCCAGCTCGCTTCCAGCACTCTGCCTTCAGCGACCCCTCCCCCAGCCTTTATTCAGTTTCCCAGGCCAAGGTGTCACCTGGCCTCCAACCCCTTCCTGGGCTCTCATGTTACACGCTCAGGTATTCTCCTTCGGGCAGACTCCCATCCCCCGATGCAGACCATCCTAGCCACACTCCCCTGTCAGCATTCACACCCCACAGTAAGAACAGTCCCAGTTCGTCACAGCCATGTACTGGGTCACACTGCGACAGGGACGGACTCAGCACTTACCTGCAGCCGCTTTGTAGCCGTCTCTCTTCTTCCCTGCAGAGAGAAGGCAGATGGCAGTGAGTGCGGCTGCTCCCGGGGCAGGAACGGGCTCCAGACTGTGTCCGCAGCCCAGAAATGGGGTACCCGGCCCATCCCAGAGCCCTGGGGCTTAGAATTGACCAGTACTGGGTCCCATATGAACCATACCCCTCCCCAGGTTTCTGACTGGTGGGTGGGTCTGGCCCATCAAGGCCACAGAGAGGTTTTGGGAGCCTGGGGCAAAATCTGAACCCCCTATCCTTCCAAGAGTGCAAAAGCACTGAGGGGCGGCCCCGGGGGCGGGGTGGGAGAGGAGTTACAGAGCAAGCCTGTCTGCACTCACCCCACAGTGGTGGCTCCTGTCCTGGGGGGCTGCGCCCTGTGACCCGGTACACGGGGTCACAGCACAGACTCAGGTGTGGGGCCGCGACTCCACGTGCCAGGTCAGCACCGCTCAACTTCCGCAGCTTGGGGGGCCCAAAGCAAACTGCCCCTTTGTTCCCCACGGAGCAGCCCTGGGCCCAGCAGCAGAGCGGGGCAGCCACACAGCACTGACGCCGGGGGCTGTAGGGATGGGTGTCGGGGCCCAGCCAGGCCAGAGCAGGTCAGCACTCTCCCAGCCCAGGCACTGGGGGATGGGCACGTCACCATGGCCTGGCACAGACACCCGGCACTTACTGAGGCAGACAACGGCTCCAGCGACAATAGCGACCAGCACGAGAACCCCGATAACGACACCCACGATCAGCATCACATTGGACTTGGGAGCTGAAATGGGAACGGGCCAGTGAGCAGGGGAACCAGAAACCCTCTCACCCTGTTACAGGGGTGAGTCGCCCTGCCCCCCACTGGTGTCCTGTGTGTCCTCCCTGAATCCCCCCCGTTACATGGGTCAGTCATCCTGCCCCCCCATTAGTGCCCCATAAACCCCCCCCAAAAAAACCCTTCTGCCCATCCCAGGCCAGTCCCCCCCTTACCCCAGGGCACTCTCAGATCCGCAGTCAGGCTGGGGTGCTCCACACAGCAGGTATAATCGGTCTCACTGCTGGGGTCGATCTCGATGGTGGCCCGGGTCTGGTAGGTCCCATCCCCGCTGGGAAACACCCCCCACTGGATCGTCTCCTGCGGCACGGCCACCCCCTTCTTCAGCCACACGACGGCCACGTTCCGCGGGTAGAAGCCGTGGACCCGGCAGGAGAGGGTGGTGAGCCCGTACCGGCTCGGCCGGTCGCTCACGTGCACCCGCGGTGGCTCTGGGGGGAAGGAGACACGGAGTTAGAGGGAACTCCCCGAGCTGGATCCCCCTGATGCAGCCCATCACAAGGCGACTGGGGGTGTTAGAGAATCTCTAGCACTAGCTGGAGGAACCAGCCCAGCCCCCTGCACAGGGAGACCCAGTAGCTGAGGCCCCAACCTCCCCCATACCCAGCCCAGTACCCACAGACTGCTCTCCCTCCCAGCCAGAGCAGGCAGCGCTCGGGCAATGCACCGCAGGGGCCAGCACTGCCCTGGCTGGGCCAGAGGGACGGGACCTGGTGCAGCCGCGCTCTCACGTCTGGTTCTGATACATGTGGCCCGTGGCCATGGCACCCTGAGGGGCTCTGCTTGGCTGGGGGCGCGGTAGGGGGCTGAACAGGGTGGGACGGGACAGGGAGACGAACAGCGGCTCCTGCAGCAACGCTGGGGCCTTGCCTGATGTGGGGACAGAAACATCCTGCCAGGGACAACACTCAGCGTGACAGACATGGGGGAGCGATCTCTGAAGTGGGGATACACCTTGTTCAGTGACCCCCCAGGGTCTGACGTGCCCCCTCACCTCTCCTCTGCAGCGTCTCCTTCCCGTACTCCAGGTACTTCCCCAGCCACTCGATGCACTCCTGATCCAGGTAGGCTCTCAGTCCCTGAGCGATGCTCCTCTCAGCGTCCCATTTCTGTTTGGTGACCTGAGCCCCGTCATCTGCCGCCACCCAGGTCTCTTGGCCCATATCGAAGCTGATGAAGTCTCGCCCGTCGTACGCATACTTTAAAAAAACCCCTTTGGAGCCGTCACCCCAGAGCTCACAGCCGTACTTCAGTTGGAAAGTGTGAAATCCTGAAACACACGGAGCCGGGGCCCAGGGCTGGGTCATGATTTGAGCCACAGGGAGCAGCTACTGCTAGAGATTCTCTATCCCCCCCCAGCCGCCCTGTGATGGGGGCACCAGCCTGGTGACCCCCTGGGCCTACCACCCCTCCCCCAGGAAAAGAGCAGTAGAGGTGAGTCCTCCAAGCTGTCTAGAGAGGCTGCAGGGGAGCAGCCAATCAGGGACCAGCAGGATCACAAAAAAAAAGGAGCTGCTGGGCAGAGGAGTTCAGTTGCTGGCTGGAGCCAGAGGAGGAAGGTTGGGGCTCCTGGCTGGCTGCAGGGCTGGGCAGATCAGGGCTGGCTGGAGCCAGGCTGCAGGGAAAGTCCTGGGGCTGTGGGGAAGTGGCCCAGGGAAATGCAGTAGCAGACAGTTAAAGGAAAGCAGCAGGCAGCTGCTACTTGTAGGGTTCCTGAGTCGGGACCTAGAATAGCGGGTGGGGGCCCTCCTGTCAGTCTCAGGGGGTGGCTAAAACTCTGAGCAAGGAGCCCAGAGGGTGCTGAAACCCCAGAAGAGTCACTAATTGTTAAACTCTGTTACACCTCCCCCCCCCAGAAGGCAGCTGAACTATGAACAGTGGCTGAGCTGGGGCCCCAGGCGAAGGGCCCCAGGGAGGAAGCCGTGGGGGGCACTGCTCCACACCAGAGCAGGGGACAATACCGGAGCGAGCCCAGGAGGGGCTGTAAGCAGGGTACAGCGATAGGCCCTGTTGAACGGCGTACCTCAGAAAGGATTTATTTTCCGTGTGTTTCACATACAGTGTGTGTGACTCGGCCAGGGGGGCGAGTCACTGAAAACCTGCCTGAGAAGGTTCAATGCTGGCAGGGGTCGCTGCAAATCAATGCAAAGTTGGAGAGAAGTGCAGACACACACCACACCCCCCTACTGCAAGCTGTCTGCAGTCTGGGGTCCCCCTCGGCCCTGTGCTCACCAGTCTCACAGAGCCCCACATGGACCCACTGGTGGGGGGGGGTTCCCACTGCAGGGGGGGCTCTGGCTGTGGCAGGGGAACCCCCCCTCACTGGCATTGCTCCCATCCCTTATCCCCTCACGCTGTGCTCACTGCCCCTCTGGCCAGCCCAGTGCCTAGGGTTACCATACGTCCGGATTTTCCCGGACATGTCCGGCTTTTTGGGCTCCAAATCCCCAT